ATCAACCGTTTGCATTCGAATGCAAGAGACTTCAATGTCACATCTGGCTCTTGATCCAACTTAGCAAGGAGCCGAGTGCGGATTTCCGCGTCGCGTGGAGATTGTAAAGCACTGACAAATATGAGACACTTAAACTGGTCATCCGTCAAACAACGTAACTTGAAACGTTCACATTCACGGTTAACCATGTCTGCTAGTGCCCCAAAATTGTCTGTATCACGCTTTACAATTTTTAGACATTGGTAGCGAATGCTAAACAAAGACATCGATTCACCAAAAATTTATTTGAGTGTTGCCACTGCTCCGTCGAAAGTGATGTCCGTCGGTTCTTTGGGCAGGATGTGGTCAACGAATCTTGTATGTTCATCAGTACCGAGCTTACGGAGCAAAAGACGCCCTTTCCATGAATCATCTTGATGGCTGAAATGCTTCCGGAACATGTCCTCCCAGCGTTTGAGCCATGCCTCGAAAGTGTATTCAGAATCAGCATTATAGAGAAATTCAGTGCTTGAAATCGTAAGAAAATCAAATGAAACGGCCTGCGAGCCACGCGTAGCTGCTCCTTTGACTATTTGTCCAAAGACTGCGGTAAACTTACAATCGGTTTCATTTGTGCTTCCTTCTGGGATCGTTGCTGAAGGAGGAGCTTTGGCAGATATTCAGGGGGAAAATTCGTACCATTTGCATGCATGTCCGTCGCCATTGTTGGAACTTCACGTTTTCTCGCTATCCCGAATTAAACACCCAAAAATTCCTCCGCCAAAATTCTAGCCCAGCCGAAGAAAAATCAAAAGTCCAACAACCTTGACCACGGAAAGCGTGTTAATAAAAGCGCTGCCAACATAGCCAAAAATGACGCAAAAACGCTGTACAACTACGCCAGACCTACGCCAAATATATAGGGGCTTAATGACCTTCGGTTTCGAGGAAACGAAGGTCAACTGGTAAAATCAATAGCCTCCCGTATGCTGGCGATCACGTGAAGGAATGGAAGGTTCCGGAATCTGCGAAATCAATGCGCGTTCGAAGGTAACCGATTAATTGCTAAAATAATGCTTTTCCTTTATGTTTTTACCTTTGCTCGGATAGCTTCCTTGCCCACAATGCATGTATAAATGCAACCCCAAAAAAGAACACAACATATGGTAAACAGATGATGGCTCATATGCTACAACGCCACACGGGCACGCGGCCAGGCATAGCATGGAAGTGCGGGCGAAATCTTTCGGTGGAATACCTTGCATGGAATCAGGTCCCCTGGGGACGGTTCCACTAGGGGCTGTATTAGTTTACCTAGACATTTGTTTACATCTACATATGTTATTGTTCCTGGCTTCTTAATTTCTTTAATACCTTAAACCTGCAAATTACTTTAACACCCGTTTTTGACCTATTATAAAAAGCGTGAACAAATAGATTAATTTTTGTGGCCCTGCTGTACACATTGATCAGACCACATAGTTGGACTGCACCTCGCATCGCCAAGGAATATACCATTTATTTTATTTTATTTTTATTTTAGAAACGTCAGAAACAGCCGGCTGCAACGAAGTTTATTGTGTGTGGCACCAAGGCTAAACGGCATCAATCACCCTGGTCTACGACTTTCCCTAGATGTCGCCCGACCACGTCGAACATTTTTCAACTGCGCTAAGCTCGTTCAACCAATAAACGCGGCTCTGCTCGTGACATCCCAAGTTACACACTGCATTCAGATGAACGGCTCGCCTATCTCATCTCGCCTACGCCGATTTTCAGCGGAGAAACTTAAGGCAGTTAAGTCAAAGTTAGAGCTGAGAATAATCCGTCCTTCAGAGAACTCTTGGCCATCCCCATGGCAGATAATTCTTAAGAAATCGAGTGACCAGTGTCCTTCCAGTGTCCCCCGCGCTCTCAATAAGGTATTCGTCCCACATAAGTAACGCATTTGACAAACGCATGTCCTTACTGAGTGTCTCACAGGTAAGCTATTCCGTAGCATCGATCTTGTTTTTGTATATCATCAGATACTTGTAGAACAATGACATTCCTAACGCATCCGTCACCAATACATTCGACTTTTTCAATTTTTAAGTATGCTTTTCGGATTATGCAACGCTGTGCAGATATTACAACACTTAAGTCACTGTCTCAATCGTGTTCTAGACTTCGCCTTCTCCTAGACGACGTTCTATAGCCAGTTCTTCCGAAAAAGGGCCCTTTGACCATCTTCACTCACTATTTTAGCGGTTAAACGCAACACGATATCACAGTTAACCCAGCTAGGTGTGGATTCGACGAGTCAACTGTAGAATCTATGGGTCAATTTGTTTCCTAGTCGGGTAGCGAACTGCTTTCTGATAAGATCCGGGCAATAAAAATAGAACAGTGGCGTATTACGGGTAAAATAGTAGTGCTTAACAAGTCCCGTGGGATAAAAATTATTGAGAAGATGAAAATGCAAATTAAATTAAAGGTGTCTTCGTGAACCTCCCAACAACCTGTGCAGTAGAGCCGAGATATTCATGTGTTTGAAGGTGTAAATTCGCTGGTTGGAAGGTTGGAAACACACCGTTTGGCTAACCGAATTTATAAGATGTAACGCGAATTTTGAATTTGAAATTTCGTCAAGTCGATTTTAAGTTTCATTAGGTTAGGGGCAGAGATGACATAAGTTGGGAGAGCGTTCACAGGGCTGGTACACTCGAAGTGAAAAGAAACTTTGTTGCATTCCAACCGGCCATATAGTTTTGTCTGCATCAAAGGATGACCCCTTAGATTGGCGTCGTGGTGAAGTGCTAACGGCAAACAGGAAAATGTGGTTTGGCTTCTTTGGAAGCTGGTAAAACAATATGTGGTCCCCGCAATCGCCGATATCGACTGCTGTACTGTCCTAGGGAATTCCATCTAAGCTAGTACGGCTGACAGAAGAGACCTCTAATGTTCTTGGATGCCGTTCGTTGATGAGTCTGGATAGCATCAATATTCTGTTGCTGCCGCGAGTGTCACACCTGGATGGCATATTCTACGTGTGGTCACACGTAGCCGTTAAGAACTTTTGGGAAGATTGAGATGTCAAATCCACCAAACGCTGCGAATAAGGTCAACGTGTTGATCATCGGTTCTCGACGCCTTCTATGATTGCGTGAAACATCCGAGATCGTCCTGTACCAATACACTCAAGTCACCCTCCTGAGCAGCCCTCTGCAAGGTGTAGTCTCCAAGCTTGTGAGTGCTCGCCGGCTGATGACGAAGGTGGGTCAACTTGCACTTAGAGGCTTTGGTGTGTGTTCCTCGTTAACCATTCATGAGCGCAAAACCGGGTCATGTAGGAGGAAAGCGTGACATTGCTTGCAATTAATCGCACGCCGTATTCTAACATCACCAGCGAAAAGCAAGAAATATGGGAGAAAACTCTTGCCAGGCTGTTGATAAACACCAAGAACAAACGTGGTCCCAGCACCAAGCCCTGTGGAACACTGCTTTCATCTCAATCTGGTGGGAGAGTGATCCCACGAAGTAAATTTGAAGCTTTCGTTTAGCAAATAAAGCTGTAGATTCATCCAAGGATAGGGTCGCTGATTCCATAGTTCTATAACCTGTTAAGTAGGATGCTGTGATCCAGACGGTCGAAAAGTTTGGAAAAGTCCAGGGAGCTTGTGCCGATTCCAACCTCACCGTCGACTGCCTCTGAACAACTACCGCGTACCATCAGCGGGTTCTTGGTGCATGACCGGTGTTGACGGAAGCCATTATGCTCCGGGGCCGATATTTTGCATTTTTCTAGGTAGTCCACTAAAGCTTCAGTTATGACCGCTTCCATCATCCTCGACATCACGGGGAGGAGAGTCACTCGGCGATAGCTTGCAAACTCTGAACGGTTACCGCCTTTAACATTTGTAGTAATTATGCCATTCGTTCACATGGTGGGACTAGTTGTTCATTGAAGCGCGACAAGAGCTCAGTTGGTTTAGTGACTGCAGCTAAAAGTTCCATCGGGCGAATGTTGTCGGCTCCCGGACAGCTGTGACCACGCAGTGAGAGCGAATTCCTTGGCACATTTGCTGGGTTGAAGATTACACGTGCAATAAATAGAGTCGGTAAAGTGAATGAAGGTGTGTGACAGGAACGAACTGTGAGTTCGAAAATCTGTGCGTATTTTACCAGCAGAGCAGCGGCTGCTTCATCGGCACTATGTACGCTACCGTCTCTTGGGAAATGTGGAAGGATTCCATGCATTTTTGCTAAGACAGTCAACATGTCGGCACAGTAGCTTTTTATATGGCAAAAACGATTTCTCTAGGCACTGTAACTAAGCTACTTTGTCCTCAGGGATAAGTGTAGTATAGTGGTAGAGGTGAGTCAGGAATTTACCCCAATGTCTGAGGCTGAAGTAGCCATATAGACGCGCCACACTTCGTCCTTTATTGCTATGTATTTTCCAGTCCTGCTTCTGAGATTTTATGTCACATTTGCGGAACTAAGTGGCTTGAGTTCCGATGCCCAGTTGGCCATATCATTGAGTCTTTCAACGAACTCTGCTCAAATGTTGTCAATGGAACTGCTATTCAAGAAATGCCAAGCGGATGCGGCAATGAATTCATACCGGACGTAGTAGCATGTGGTTTTATGGGTTAATTTCCAGTGTTCATATGGATACTCTGTAAAGCAAACATAGATAAATGTTACGAATGTATGGTCCCTGAGACATAATGGACTCTGCACCAATCACTTGTCGTTCGTGAGCTCTTTACTTGTGAGCGCCAGGTCCAATATGGACAGTCTGTTTGCTGTCTTGAATCTAATGGGCGAGGTGACATGATTGTATAAGGGAAAATTTGCGATAAGTTCCTGTAAGTCAGCTTTGAACTGTTCATTGGGAGATGCGCTTATCTCCAGATCCTGTACATTGAAGTCACCGATGAAAATGTGGCTGTACCTAAGGTGTTTATCGTCTTCAAGGCACGTAACAAGCTGGAGTCCATTTCCGGAGTGCATGTCGGGAAACCCTAAACCACATCTTGGAGACATGCGTCGTTTTGTCTTAATCAGAGACGGCAACAGAGTGAATCGGCAGCATGAGTTTCCGGATCATCAACTATTTGCACATTGCATGTCACTGTGTTAGTACATGAGCACCCCACCTCCTCTGCTGGGGCGGTCATTCCTGATGAGTGACATTCCAGTTATCTCAACCTCAACATCAGCAACGACTTGCTGTAACCAGGTTTCGGGGATGGAAATTGGGTCCTAAGCATTCGCGGCATGACGTACTCGAAGTTTAGCATGCTTATTGAAGAGCCGTTAAGCGTTAGTGCGCATACATGAGAGTTTCTCGGGTTTTAGCAATTTCTCTGAGATGGTGCAATTCATACATGAAGTTCCGCCGACCAATGGGTGGTCGGCGACCATTAATTTTTTCAGTGGGTACTTGGCAACTGGTATGACGTCATATTCATCGGTTTCATACTTATTCCCTAATCCAGCGTAGAGCGTCTGGTCAGTCACTTCAACAGCAGTTTGTATGGGCTCATCAGACACACTTCTGGCTCACTATTCTACCATGGTTACTATCGCGTTTAGTTCTTTGGGTGACACATCACCTCTGGAGGGCATATCGCTCGCTGCCTTCACTCGAAGCTCAGATGGAAGCTTGAAATGAAACATGCACCAGCTTTTCAGCAGCCGTGCTTCCATTTGTTTCGACTGTAGGACTATTTTTAACACTCGTCGGCCACCTCCTTCGTAGTTTGGTGATTGCGTAACCGTGACACCGATTTCCCTAGCACGTCATCCAAGGAGGGAGTTTCATTAATATAACACCACTGTTCTGTATAAGCCGGCCAGTAGACTTAAGGATCACAAGCCTGCCTTGTAATCCGAGGGCGCGGGTCTGAGCCTGCGTAGCGATTGAGCGATTTTCGCAGTATCACCTCGAGTGCGAACGGTGGTCTTTGCGCGGCAGCGAAGCGGCGGTACTGCGTACCAGCGTACTACTGAAGCCTTTTGTCATGCTCACCGCATGGTTCAATCTCGGGTACGCCATGGACATTAATGGTTCTGGCTAGAGTTTCCTTTCGGTGGACTTCTAAGCTGTGGTTAATTCGATAAGGTTTGCCCCATGGGATGTCTTGAAAGACGTGGATGGAGCAGTATTCAGTTTTGAGTCGAGCCATCGATAGCAGAACTGATTTTAATTCGGTAATAGAATTCAGCACAAAGCGCGTATGTCTTGGCTCTCCTAATGCTTAGAGTTGGGGTACCATATGATTCGCACCACATAATAACGCTAAAACGCCGGGCCAAGTAGGTTGATAATGAGGTCCCACTGGTTGAAAGCGTCCAGCTACCTGCCTCCAACTGACGTCGACCTTGATTCTGGAACATTGCAGCACAGTACAGTCAGCACAAATTGTTGTCTCGTAGCATCTTCCGACATGTCATGGGTAGTGCCTGACATACTCGATGATGCATGGCAGCAAATCGGTGGTGCTTGCATCAGGAGAACTCCGCTTCGCACCAGTTTCCGACATAGTGAGGCGTGCTGCTAATTTTAAATGTCGACCCTTCTTGGAAACAACCGTAGCACAAATTTCACTAGTAAAGGCTTGCACTTGTACCACTCACTCAGTTCGGAGATTAGACAAAGCCTCGCATGTGCTCACTCCGACCGAACTGAAAAGCTTATTAGCAGAATATTAGTCGTTTGTGGTATTCCAACAGCAAGTGAGTTTCTGGTCGATTGGTGTCGTTTCGCTCGCCGTGTGACCAGTCATTCTCATGGGGATTAGAGCAGCACTTTCTGGGGAGGTTTGGTTTGCACAGGCTGTTATGGTTACCCCAACTGTGGCGATTTCGGTGGCCACCATTTCCTCAAACTTGGCTAGTAGTTGGTCGTACTTCTGAGATAATAGGAGCGCGCAGCTTATCAGTGGGATAGACGTGCATACCACGCAATACCAGAGAGAACCTGATTTGATTAATCAGTTGGCCTGGTTAGCTTCCACTAGATTGTATTTCGCATAGAAAATATTAACAAAATTGGAATACGGAAGATACATTTTGACAATTTTGGCAAATGATCCACATTTATCTTTCGTCTGAGAAACGATAGATATCGCAACCATTGAGCAAATTTTAGAAACATTATAATGATGTACCATTCATAGAGGTTTCATATTTTGCATTTTATCTCACTTCGGTTTAAATCGCTATCGTACAATTGTTTTAATTGACCGCCATTTCTGATACACTTTTCTCGATCTCCAACGGAGCGTTCTGCAGTGACGTGTTAAGCTTATTTTGTCTGTGTGTCTGGGAGATCTGAGTTTCGCGGTACCAACACTTGGAATACAATCTTTCGACTATTCCGTTAGGTAAAGTGAAATATCTGTGGAGTTAGTCCAGCTGGTCACACCTGAATGTCAGCGTATTCCTTTCTTTTATCTGTCATTGATTCTTTCCTTCCGGTGCGGTATTTTAGGACTAATTTTCAATCCATTACATATTTGGTGACCACTTTTTTCCTTTTTACCTACCGGAACTCATATTTTGACTGCGATACGTCGTTTAGTACCACTCCCTATACTAACTCTGCCGAAAATGTTTTTGGTTTTTCCTTACCCGTTTTTGACATAAACAATGCTCATGACTGGTTTTTACAGTTGGAAGCTCTTTTTCGCTGCCGTAGGATTACTTTACAAAGTTCTATGTTTTCCTACATCGTTGCACATATTCCTACACACATAGTCACTGATATGGTAGACCTGCTCGACCCTGTTCCTACCGAATCTCCCTACGATAAGCTTAAAGCTGCCGTTTTGAAACGTCTCACAGCTTCTGATGAGGCCAGAGTTCCTTAACTTCTTTCCGGAGTTGAAGTGGGTGAGCATTCATTTTCGCAGCCTCTCCGTTATGCGCTCTCTTTGGTTGGTTCCTTCAAAATTACATCAGTTACATCAGTATTACATCAGTATCAGTATTACATCAGTTATGGCTCAGATATCGCTCATCCAACACTATGGCGATTCTCGCTGTATCCACCGACGCTTTGTCACTTGGCAATCGAAGCTTCAGCGTCTATACGAACAAGTGCGGCTAAGATCGTTCCCACGCTCGTTCAATTTTCCGTCTCACCGGCTAAGCCAGCGTCATCCGGACAGCGCAATTCCGTTCGAGTGGTCAGCGTAACAAGCAATTATCGTAGGCGTGCCAGCGACCCTCTTATCAGGCGATTACGCAATTATCTCAAGAGGCGGCGTTCCCTCAATTATAACAGCGGCGACGACTAAGGCAATCTACGCAATCTATAACAGTGGCGACAGAGTTGGTGAACCATGACTGACGAATATGCCGATTTAAAATTGATGCTGCAGCAACAGCCTTAATTGATGTCCGCGCTAACCGAAAAGCTTTCCAGTTCTTCCCTTCATGCAGGTCCGAGCGCCAATTCTCAGTCAGTGGACCAGGTGGTTAGCGGCATCAGCGAATTTCTGTACGACGCCAAGGCCGGGGTAACGTTCGAATCCTGGTACAAGCGGTACGAGGACCTGTTCACCGTTGACTTGGCTCGCCAGGACGACTCGTGGAAGGTCCGCCTGCTTCTGCGCAAACTTGGTACCCTCGAACACCAGAGATACACCAATTTCATCTTGCCGAGGAACCCACGGGACGTTACCTTTGACGACACGGTCCGAACGTTGTCACAGATTTTTGGCGAGCAGTCCTCTCTGTTCAATGCTCGTTACCAATGTCTGCAGCTGGTCAAACGTGATGCCGACGACTTCATCACGTACGCGGGCATGGTCAACCGTGAATGCCAACGTTTTCAACTTGGCTCGCTCACCGAGGACCAATTCAAATGCCTGATCTTCGTCTCTGGCCTCCAATCTCCACACGATGCCGATATCCGGACGCGCCTTCTGTCCAAGCTACAACAGGATGGATCAGTCACACTCCAGAACCTGGCCGAGGAGTGTCAAACGCTGCTCAACCTGAAACACGATTCTGCCATGATCCAGAACGCCGCCGCACCTGGTATGGTCCAGGCAGTCACAGCACCTAGGGCGCAATCGTCCGCGCGCCCCGCCCAATTCGAACGAGCGAAGTCCCCACCCTACGCATGCCGATTCTGTGGTGCCTGGCATTTCCACCGCGACTGCACTTTCCGCCAGCATCGTTGTCAACGTTGTGGCAGGGTGGGGCACCGGGATGGTTACTGCCATCCGCCATCTCCCAAGGGGGCCAAAACTGGGCTGGCC